TAATAAAAAAAATTGGTTTTAATAAAAAAAAATTGGCTAAATAAAAATAATTGGTGTAAAAAAAATTGGTGTTAAAAAAAATAATTAGGTGAATAATAAATAATTGGCGTTAAAAAAAATGGTGTTAAAAAAAATTAACTGAATAAAAAAATTGTCGTTAAAAAAAATGGCTGAAAAATAAAAAAAATGAAGTTTAAAAAAAAATAAGAGGGTTAAAAAAAAAGGAAGGAAAAAAAAGGAGGAAGGAGGGAATAAGGAGGAAGAAGGAGGGAGGAGGGAGGGGGGAAGGGCTGAAGGAGGGTGGAGAAGGATGGAGATCCGAAGTCTGCTGGGAGGGAAAGGGGGTTGCGGGTGGAGGTGGGTGCGGTGAGGTGGTCTGGTTGCGGGTCTAGACTAGGTGCGGATGGTGCTGACTGCGGTGCAAGGAGGGCAGCTGCGGTGCGAGTGCTTGCGGTCCGAATTGTGGATAGCAGCTGCGGTCCGGCGAGAAGTGGCGAGAGCCTGCGGATCCGAGCTTCGGTCCGAGGCTGCGGTCCGAGATCTTCTATCAGCATTCAAGGATGGACTTCAGTCAGCAGGGAAGGGGCTGCGGTCTCTTGGCTGTGGACCAAGAGGCTGCGGGTATGGCTTCGGATCAGTGGCTGAGAAGGGATGCTGAGAGACTTCTTAGGAGACTCCGGTAGGCAGTTTTTGGCTGCGGTTCTGGGCTCCGAGAAGGGCTGAATGTATGACGAAAAATGCTATTTTTCCATGAAAAATGGTACCGCAAAGGCCATTTATTCATATTTTAATGAGGGAATCTTTTTATAAAGCATTATAAGTCAAATGTGGGTCTTGGGAAGGCAAACATGAGGAGTGTGCAGGTGGGTTTTAGGGACAAAAGGTGATGGGATTGGACAATGTCACATGGTTTTTGCTTGGGAAGGCAAAAGTGAGTGGAGTACTCTTACCCAAAAGAGTAACAATGACAATATGCTTTATGCAAACACTTAAACACGCCCATATGCACTAATTTGAAGATTCACAGCAACAAATAAAGGTAGAATGTATGAATATCATACATTTTATGATGATCATAATAAACATGCTGTAGAAAAAATCTTATAGAAAAAGTTGCTTTCCTCCACTATCTTCAAGAATAATAAGCCCATAATTTTTGTGTCTTCTCATCCAAGAAAAAGAACTCCTGGAGCAAATTCTTCAACAATTTGGAGACCACAAAAATAATTTCTTCTCCCATTTTTCTTCATTTCTTCAACAGCAACAATAATAATCTTTTAAGAACATCTTTTTCCAGCAACAAATAGAACGAGCAGCAGCAGCAACAATTTATTTTATTAAGAATCACCCAGAAAATAGAACTAAGAACGAACTTCATAAAAAAAATTTCCGGTTTGAAACCCGAAAATTTTTCTTGCAGAAACACGGAAAAATCACAAGATAATCACCGAACGGGAGTCGTTCCCTTGAACTAATCGTGAGATCTTCAAGGTGCGGCTCTGATACCAATTGTAGGAACCCATTTTTATAACGAACGGTGAATGCGGAAGTAAGATATCTCGAGATTAATCGTGTATTTGTAAGTATGAACACGAAGAACATATTATGAGTTCATGGAAAAAGACTAAGAACAAGAGAGAATAATAATAATATTGATGCATGAAGAACATGGTGGGAGAGAAACTCTCCTTGGGTGGGAGAACCCACCACTTCTCTCTCTAGGATTACATTGTAAGAAAAGTAATCACTAACTTAGAAAAAGTGAGCTAGCTTAAGTAAGAAATGACCAACTCTCCCTTTATATACGAGGGAGAGTATTTACACCATAAATACAATAAAGGGAAAATACAACCTAATAAACACTCATTATTTGTGGAGCATTTCAATGCACCAACACAATCCATTTAGACTTAAAATCAATGTTTTTGACATATAATTGAATTCCATGGTAAGCAAAAGCCAAAACAGCCTTCAATTGATCTTTCACCATCACATAAAAGATGAGAGAGTGTGATGACTAGTTCGATGATTCGATCATGCTCACAACATGGATTGAACTGTCTCACAAAGCTCTTTGAAAAACTAGGTAAGCTCAAGAATTTTCCGAGTGGAATGATGCATGAATTGTGCAATATTACCTATAAGTTAATACCGAGCTTTAGGGTTTAATCAGAAGAGTGTGGTGCAAGCATGGGATGAACTACTTGCTTTGATTATGCTACCCAATTTGTTCACATGTCTGTAAGGCCACATGATATACTCTTAACGGGGGTGCGTTTGTGTATGCGACAATGTTTTAACAAGTGAACATTATATCCTTGATGTCTTATGGTCTTTTATGATGATATGGAGTGATGTTTCTTGGTGCAGACCACATACCATAACGTCTCTCTCTCTCTCTCTCACGCACACACACAAAATATCCAACAAGTATTATTCTATGATTAAAAAATTAGGATTGGTTTAGGGTGATGGAGTGGTGAGTATTTCCTAAGGTAAGTGGTATGGAAGCGTTGTTGATGTGACTTTGAGATGACACCATTTATGTATTATGATGTTATTAGTACACCCCAGCCTGACAGTTTCATCAACTCGTTATGGACATTAGACATGCAAATAGTCCAACCAATATATCTCCCTACTATCGGTTGCATGATATTAACTAACTTTATCATCTGTCCCGTCAACTTATTAGGCTAAGGGGAGTTATAACACTCCTAACACCTTGCCACATTAGTTTTTTGAGTGACACCTTATTTTTCTTTATTTAACACCTAATCTTAGCATTTGGTAGGGAGTGTTAACACCTCATTTTAGGTAAAAAAAAAATTATTTAATGAAAGTGGATTGCAATCCAATCAAATAAGTATCCACCAATCAAATTGCGCCCACACATTCTCTCTCATCTCGCCAAAATGTTAACGAGGAAATAGCAGTAGCGAGTATAACGAGTGGGTTTAACACCCCCATTCTTCTTAGTCTTAGTAGATTTTACCTCCAAGACATGTCATTCTATTCCAAAAATACTAAAAGTGAGTTTATCCATTACTTAAAATCATGATAATCAAATAATTAACACATGCAAACACCCCTCAATTAATTAACGAAAATGCTTACATATTAAAACACCTTCCAAGTTCCCGAAAAAGAAAACATACACATAAGTCTAACTGAAAGATCCACCTCACAAAATGAAATGATGAGGGGAAAAAACACCCATTGACTTATGGGATATCTTTGTTTTCATTGAGCGTGATAAACCAACTTTTTTCAGAACAAGGTGGCATCGCACTTAACTCAAACAACAATGATATGTGAAGTCTTGTCAAAAAGAAATTAAATTGCCAAAGTCATATGCACGGTTGCAAGAAAAAAGTGACATCGAAGGAGGTAAACGAGTTAATATAAACAATTAGAAAAAAACCATATAAGTTTTAGTCTCATTTATACGATTGGGTTGCACAAAGAAATCATAATTGTCTTCAAGACTTCAACATATCTAAGAAAGAATTACACAAATACACCATATGATTGCAAGATAAATTAAACTAATGTTAAATCAATAGACAAATCAAAGGTTATCATGCATCTGCCCAATTACTATGCTAAATATAACCCCGATAAAAGAGGCAAAGAATTGCCCAATTACTATGCTAAATATAACCCCGATAAAAAAGGCAAAGAATTGAGAAGGGTGTCGGGGGTAAACCTTTTCTTACATATTTTTTTTATGGACCTAAGCTTTATTGGAATTTAAGAGAGTCAAACAAAAACTGGTAGGTATCATATCATACTTACCATACTTTTACAATGTCATGTAATTTTTTGTCTCGCTCCACAAAACTTGTGGGTGTCATACCACACCTTACCACATCCACCACAATATACATATTTTTTCCCCATGCGGCAAAACCATAACTCACCACCTCATACCACACTATTTTTTTTGGGCCTCGGTGCAATGTTTACCTCATACCGCATCTTACCGCGGTATGCGGTAAGATGCACACCGTATGGTCTTAGAGCGTGTTTGACAAACTATATGGTATTGGAAGTTGGTTAATGATAGCTAAAAACTGAAAACTTATGATTGGTAGCTAGAAGCTTATGATTGGTAGTTGGAAACTAGAAAATATATTTTTTATTTGTGTGAAAGTATTCCTCAAAAATAACTAAACTTTTAAAATATATAAAATAAAATAAAATATAATAATTGAAAGTTCCTAAAAGTTCATTTTTTTTGTTTAAAATAAATGATTTAAGTTGGTATATTGGCACAAATATTCATCTTATTAGGATTTACTAATGATTGAGAAAAAGAGTTCGAGTTGCATTTTATTATTTAAATGATAAATAATTTTAAAGTAAATTAACAATAAAGTAAAGATAAGATGTGTGATTGTGGAGATTTGTTCGCATAATAATTTTTAAGATAAGAGGGAGGCGGTTTGGCGTGAAGGAAAAGCAAATGGTAAATGGAAGAAAACCGACCACACCAACAAGGTTGCAATTATTTAATTATAGCCATGGACACACAAGACTTTAATTATAGATTTTTGTTTGCTTGTCAACCAAGGGATGGCACTTATTTATTTCTTTAAAATTGATAGATTGTTTGAATATTAGTATACTTTAATACAAAAAGTTTACTAATAAATATATCACAAAATTTTTTTATTTGTCTTATTGAAAACATGGTAATTTATTGATTTTGCCGGTTTTGTTGGTTAAATCTTTGTATTATTCAAACTCTTTCATGACTGGGATCAAACGTTGATCGACTTGTTTTTTCATTGGAATCATTGCTCTCTGTTTCCTATATTCTTGCTTTTGATTAGTAATTAACTTCCGACCGATGAACTTTGGATTATTGAAGATCTACTGGATCAAACATATGAGTGGAAAGGAAAACTGGGATTGAAAGACTATAAAGAAGAAAAATTATGCATGGAACGTTGATAAGGTATCCACTCCCTTCTTTTTTACGAATTTTCCTCCTAATGTGGACTCCAAGAAGTTTTGGTCAGTATGTGAAAAATACGGGAAGGTCTCTGATGTTTATATTGTCTGGAAGTTATCCAAATTCGGGAAACATTTTGCTTTTGTACGGTTTCATAAAGTCCAGGATTAGAAACAACTTGAGAATAAATTACATGATATTTGGATTGATGATCATCATGTGTTTGTTTCCTTGGCCAAATTTAAAAGGGATTCTTCTCGAAAGCATGTGGTTGCCCCTAAGGGTTCATCACAACCTAAGACGGGAGGATCACCAGATCACTCAAAGGGATCTTTTGCTAATGTGATGAGAGGTGGAATTGTGCAGAATAACAACCTAAATGGCTCTTTGGTGTTGGAGGGGAAAGAAATCTCAAATGATTTGGCTTTGAAGCCATCTGTCTTTTGTCAGGTGAAGAATGTGAAGCTTATTCCTAAACTTTTGGTGTTATTGAAAGAAGAAGGTTTTCATGAGATACAACTTAGATATTTGGGAGGTGACTGGGTATATGTGGTGTTTGATTCAGAGTTAGTTTGTTCGAAATCTAAGAAGGTTGCTGCTCTTCGAGCTTATTTCTCTAACTTTCGCCCGGTGGTAAATGGTTTTAAAGTATTGGAAAGGGTAATTTGGATTGAAATCCTTGGGTTACCTTGTTGTGCTTGGAATAATGTTGATGTGTCTAAACTGGCGGGTCGTTGGGGTGATGTATGTTTTTTGGAAGACGATATTCAAGCACCATTGGCAGTTAAAAGAATTTGTATTAAGACTCTTAAACCTTCTCTAATTCATGACAAGATTAGTGTGGTGGTCCTAGGGATTTCATACGAGCTTGTTGTTAGAGAATTAGCTAATTGGGAACCTGATATTGTGTGTAATGATGATATATTGGACCGTGAAATGCCTAATCTCTCAGGTGATTCAGATAATGAGGAACTTGAATGTGATGTTAATGATGGTGAGTACACTCTTGTTGGAAATAATCAAGATAATGTTGATGAATTCCTCCATGATTTTTCGAATGACAAGGAAAGAGGAGCGGGATTTGTGGATAGAAGGGGTCGTTTTTTTTCAAACAAATTGTAAGAATTATTCTGTTCAAGCGGGGGTTCAATATTTTTTTCTTGCCAATTCGAAGCCTAATATCTCCCATTCGGCCGGTGTTGCTGCTAATTGCCCGAAAGAGGTTGTTTTCCCCGGATCATAAAATAATGCCTTAGCCTTCCCCCGATCATCTGAAGTACATGAAACAATAATCTGAAACTGTAAGCCAAATGCAATGTCCCACTAATTAAGACTAAAAATTTCGATTTTTATATTAATAAAACCATCATTCCAAAACAATATCATAAAACCATAATGAATCAGAGTGTATCAATAAACATCCAAGTACATAAGAGTCATATAAAATGCGGAACAATGTGGTATGTGCAATGCATTCATCCCGAGCTCTTCCCCTTCGAACCAGAAGTACCTGAAACATAAACTGAAAACAATAAGCACAAAGCTTAGCGAGTTCCCCCAAATACCACATATAGTACATATAAAACATATAATAGGACCCTCCCGTCAACGACCCCCACTTGGAAAAAATATGTCAGTCATTAGGCCCCGCTTGACATCGGGCCCCGTCCGGTATACATGCAAACACATAAACACATGCAAAAATCACAAATATAAATAACATACAATATAATCATTAGGCCCCACCCGACATCGGGCCCGAACCGACATATGTCACACCCCGGAACCGTAATGGCGGAAACGTTCCGGGGCGGAGGACGTCATGCGTAGTATCACAACAATTGTATCATAGCAAGCATAGTAAACACAACCAGACATTGAATACATACATGAAAAAGGTTTACATTGTTTTAATACATAGTTTTGTTCATATCAAAAACAAAATAGAAAGACGCGACTCTAACACTTCGACTTCTCCGAGCTTCTGGAAGTACCTGTCTACTCATTCCCTGAGAATACAAGCAGTTTTGAAGAATATCAACATAAAGCTGGTGAGTTCATAAGCGTTTAGTTTTTGCAGGAAAGATGTTCTTTGATCCTTTTTGAAAGCGTTCCTTAAGAAAATCCTATATTTTCTTATAAAAAGCGTGTTTAAAACCTATTCCTTCCATGACTTCCAGATTCGTACCATAGATGTACAATCCTAGGTGTCGTGGAGGGAATATGAATATCTATTAATTACATGTTGAACAATTTGATTTTTTTGAATAGCCGGGTTATCCCGGGAAAAATCCTATATTTTCCCTTAAAGGTTGATATTTGATTATCCATACGCGAGTATCTACCATACTCGGACAGCGGTTTTCTTTTCGAAGCTCTGGTTACACCCAGAGGAGTATATTAGCCGTATTATCGAAAATAAAAACTAATAAAATAGGAAGTGAACTAAGACCTAAGGGCGTTACGGATGCCCTTTAGTAATCAAATCGGATATTACTTTGAGGTTAGTTCACTCGTTTCATTATTACAAAAGTAAATTCTCGTTACCTAAGTTGTAAGTGCCATAACCGTACTTAGACTGGATAAGGCACGAAACGAGGGCCAATATCTTCTATGACTTTGTCACCCCTGAACCTAACGGTTCCGCTGTAGCTAGCAGCGAGGGTGCGGGATAGTCAGTCCCATATAGATCTATACACAATAGTCACGTTCTCCCTCCAAGAGATTCTGGTTATAAGTCGTAGTCCTCCACTCACGAATCCGATGGAGTGTTACCAAGGACATGTCTCAAACTTAGCCTAACAAATTTACAAGTAACAATATCGAAAATCCTATTTGTGATTTGCATGAATCCTTTATAAAATAATACATATTATAACATGATTCACAAGTTTCTTGCTTTAGATTTGAAAACTGTTTCTACGAGTTGATTTCTTAATCGATTGGTAAAACGGTTTTCTGAGTTAAAAACATACTGAACATAAAATCATTCTATGCAAAATGAGATATCTTGAGCACAATTTCCTTGTACTTTTGCTTGTATTCCCCCCCCTGAAAACATGAAAAACTCGGAAAAAGCGTAGGGGTATGAACTCACTGTTTGACGTAGGATCTGGGTGAATGATCGGTTACGAATGCTGAGTGCTAGCCGGTGTTTCGTACGCAAGTGGATCCTATTAACATGTGATGACACATATACGTATTAGAATTAGAGTGTGACTAAACATGACAGGAAACCACCCTAAAGGCTCGGAAATGCTTGTCGGGACCCTATATGATCAAACAAGGGAGGTGTACGGCCATTTGAGTGGGTGTGCGGCCAGGGTGTGCAGCCAGGCTGTGTGTGCGGTTGCACACAGGAGTGTGCGGTCATACACAGGAGTGTGCGGCCGTACACTCCTCATTTGTGCCCGAAATGTCGATTTTGAGGTGTTCTTGTGCTAATACCAAGTCCTACTAGTGAATGAAGGCCAAACTCTTCACTTTGGAGAGCTTTAAGGTGTGTGCGGCCACCTTATGAAGGTGTGCGGCCCTACACCTTCAAAGGATGAAGAACACGAAGAACACTATGAGTTTTAGGCTTAGATTCAGGTGTCTTACCACTATAACAAGTTTGAATGATGGAGTAGTTCACGTTTTTGAGGCCTGTTGAGTGTTCTTGGACAAAGTTTTTAGAGAGAGAAAGTAGTGAGAGAAAGTAGAGTGCAACCAAAAGGAAAGGAAAGAGTGAAGGGGTCCCCTTATATATATATATATATATATATATATATATATATATATATATATATATAAGGGTGAGTGTGCGGCTGGAGGGTGGGTGTGCGGCCGCACACCCATGTGTACGGCCGTACACATCTCCCAAGAGGGTGTATGGCCCGGTTTTAGCCTCTATACGACTTGTTGGCTCATTCATACTCTCGTTACCAGCTGTACTTAAGCTTAAAACACTTAAATGAACCCTCAAACAGTGCTAGAAGTCAACAAAACATGTTTAACTTTGATCGAATTGACTAAATGTGCGAGATAAAAGTTCCGGGTCGTCATCCCCCCGTTAGAGGGAATTTCGTCCCAAAATTCAAGAATAAGAATATATATCAAGGTTTTAGAAAAGATGGAGTTTATTTAAGGTTCTTAGGACTCTCATCTAGCTCGAGATTGTCGAGAGGAACTCGCAAGTGTCTCATCGGACAGACACTTCTTTTGGTTCGACACGAGGAAGACGGGTTGAGCGTTGCTAAGCGCTCGAGGAAATTGGAGTTTGTACGCTACGAGACCGATCCTGGCAAGGATCTCGGATGGTCTAACGTATCTTGGATTTAGCTTTCTACGCTTTCAGAAGCGTATCAAGCCTCTCCAGGGTGAAACCTGTAAGAAGGACACATTCGCCAATCTGGGACTCCAGTGGTTTTTGTCTATTAACGACACATCCCCTTTCGTACGATCTTTTCTGCAGTCTCTCGGATGATTTCAGGACTCGTGAGAGTGCTGTCGGGGACTTGATTCTTGTCTATTTGCATGTCGCCCGCCTCAGCCCAGCATAGGTGGGGTCTGTACTTATGGCTGCAGAGGGCTTCGAACGGCGCAACCTTGCTACTGGAAAGGTCGTCGTTGTTGCAAGAAGGTTCAATTAAGGATAGATGTGGGTCCTATGACACATCTTCAATTGTCCGGATGGTTCTCTTACTTTGTCCTTCTCCTTGCGGATGATACTCTTCGTATGAATACTTTCGGATTTCGAAGAGAGATGAATTCTTTGAAGTTCGCATCTGGTTGTCGTCACGAGCGACGAGAGTTTCGCGATCGAACGATTTAAGACAAAAGGGTTTGGTATAACATAGACTCAGTCAAGCTAGACAGAATGGTGTCGTAGAATCGCGCGTCAAGCTAGTCCGGGAGGATAGTTTTGCTAGCACATTGGCATCCCTAAATGAACGTCTCTGGTATTTTCTGCGTTTGATTTGGACTTGGTAGGTACTACTACTAATATGGGGGTCCAAATGTTTTGAAACTATGGGCTCTCGATGGAATGGTTCTCACTAGCTTTTCCTATGATTGCTTGGTGTATACAAGTCATGTATAATCACAACTGACCCTAATGTATACACTAGGCTACCGTAATTTACCCATTAGGGCATCAACTTTTAAAAGTACGTCATGATTAAATTTGGACGGGAAAGAAATCACGATTATGAATATTTATTGAGGTTTTCGGAAACGTACAAATACACAGCAGGTTTCTTTGATGCTTCCTCATTCCCTGAGGTTAGACTCCTCCTGTTTCCTCATTGTTCTTCTCTGTTGGGCAGTCTCTTTTGAGATGTCCCATTTCACCACATGCACAACACACTTGAACTATGCTAGCATCGGTAGTGGAAGTAATGTGTTGAGTCGGGGTCTTCGCAAAGCGAGCTTCCTTGCCATCCTTAGCCCTTGGACAATTTCTTTTGAAATGTCCTACACTACCACTATAGGTAACAGGTTGGACTAGCCCCAACATTGGCAGTCAGAGTGACGAACTCGACTAGGGTCCTACATCTGCTGGAGGTGTGCCCCTTCCTATTGCATCTGGTGCAATGCAACACTCGACAGACTCCATGATGATGGTAGTTGAATTTGCTGCAGTGCGGGAGGTTTCCGAAGTAAGATGCGGTTGGGGTGGGTTGGAACAATGGGGCTGACTGTGGTATTGACTGTCCCAATTCATTGCCTTTCAGTAGGTCCTTGGGTTGAACAACTTCCTTCGAACTTTCGTTTCAGGACGTTAGGTCGGAGATCAGGTGTGTCCTTTCTAGTAGGCACTTGTTGTTGAGATTGGTTAACACCAAGGTTTGGATTGCCATTCACACTTCCACCCACATTTGTGTTGTTGGCGTTAAGAACAGCTAGGGCGGCTGCTACGGCTGCTGTGACAGTAGCTTGGAACGTAGCTGAGTCCATCTGGAGGATTGGTGTCTTACCGGTGGGTTGGTTACGTTTCTTCGGAGGCATGATCTGCTATATGTCCAGAAAAGAAGTTTGTGAGCAACAATGGTTGTCTCTGGATATATCCTAAATGTTTATCTATGCATTGAGATTTTTCCCATTTTGCTATCTGACTCTCATTGATTCGACCCACATCCCCA